CCTCTTGAGAAGCGTCTGGTAGCCGCTTTTTAAGAGGGGGGTTCTGTCATGATTCTGTCCTTGAGTTCTCTAGTTCTGAGACAGGATCATGGCAGACCCATGTTTGTGTACAACATATGGTCTTTGGTTTGGGCCATGTGCTTGTGTGTCTCGTTACTTAACCCCGCCCCCTTGTTTTCCTCGTTTGTCATGATTGTCTAGTTAGTGTCACCTGTTCCCTTTATTGGTTCTTCTATTTAATCTCCTTGTGTTTGCTGTCTCGTGTCGGTTAATTGTGACCCATACCTCTGTGTGATCATTGTGAGTTTTTGAGACCTTGTGATATCCTGTTCCAGAGTATTGTCTAGTTATTGTTAGTCACAGTCTAGTTTATTCTCTTTGTGTCTTGTCTATGTTTTGCCCCCTCGTGGGTTTTGTTTTCCCTGTTTTTGTAAATAAACTATTTGTTATACTTCTGTTTGCGCTTGGGTTCATCTGTATTGATCGTGACAGAGTGCCTACAAACAAAACAGAAAGTGTTACCCCACAATTCATTCACCCTTGGCTTCATGCTCGAGCAATATACTCACAGCAACACATGCTGTCCCAGGATCACTATCCCAAACTTTGTGGTGAATGGAGGCAATTGTCTCCAAGCAGGACACGCAGATAGATCTTACACTACCTGAAGCATACAGATTAGTCAAATACCCACTTAAAATAACGCAAAGCGCCGTCGCACCTGTCTCAATTGTCCACACTCAACCCTGCACTCCAGCAGAGAAAGCAGCTGGGCGAGTGGATGACGTCACGGCCCCGGAAAAATGATGCACCTCAATGAACTGGTAGCCCGTGCTCTTATACGCAACAGGTGCCAGGCCATTGGTCAAACCTCAAACAGCTCAACTAAACAAGCACTTAATTGAAAATAAACTATTTGAGCCTCATCAATCAGGATTTCGAAAATTACACAGCACCGAGACTGCATTGGTGAAGGTCGCTAACGACTTACTAATTGCCTCCGACTCCGGCTCCACGTCTATTCTCATTCTCTTGGATCTCAGTTCAGCTTTTGACACTATTGACCATGCCCTATTACTCAGTCGCCTCGAACATGTTTTTGGTTTATCAGAGACTGTTCTTGACTGGTTCAAGTCCTATTTCACTGACCGCAGTCAATTTGTTTTTATGGCTCCAAAGTTGGTTCTGTTCATACGGGTGTTCCACAAGGATCAGTCTTGGGTCCTTTACTCTTTAGTATGTACATCTATCCACTTGGTCAATGTGGTGAGCAGGACGGCCGAGGGACGTGAGAGAACGTCGCGAGGCCGGTGGTGCGATTGCTATTGAGCAGCACCTGTGAAGCGCACCGGTCTCGCATCTCTCACGGAGGAGCGGAAGCATAAAGGGGGAGCGACGAAGTGGATGATCGAGAGAGGAACAGGCCTACTTTTGTTTTATTTTATTTTGGTAGCCAGCAGTCGTCTGTGAGGGGCTGCTGGCAGGTAGTTATATTTTATTTTGGGTAGCCAGCAGTTCCGTGAGGGACTGCTGGCAGGTATTGTGTTTATTTCATTTAAATAAAGTTTTATTTTGATTGTCAAAAAAAAAAAAAAAAAAAAAGAGCAGGCCTGTTCCTCTCTCGATCATCCACCCCGTCGCTCCCCCTTTATGCTTCCGCTCCTCCGTGAGAGATGCGAGACCGGTGCGCTTCACAGGTGCTGCTCATTAGCAATCGCACCACCGGCCTCGCGACGTTCTCTCACGTCCCTTGGCCGTCCTGCTCACCACAGTCAATAACTACATTCTCTCAACCTTAACTATGACTGTTATGCTGACGATACACAGATTTACATAAATACTAGACCGGGTCAGCAAGTGAATGTTGGGCATCTTTCTAACTGTATTACTGAGATAAAGACTTGGATGTCCAATAATTTTCTGTCAAAAACAGAACGGCTCAAAAACAGAAGTCATGCTCCTTGGATCTCCTCATCAGCTGCGAAAGGTTGGGTCCCCTACTCTATCTGTTGATGGCGTTGCATTGGAGTTTAAGACCAAATAAAAAAATCTGTGTGTCATATTTGACGCCACACTGTCATTTGAGCCTTTTATCCAGAATACAGTTAAAACATCATTTTATCACCTCAGAAATATAGCCCGGCTACGTCCCATGCTGTCCTTCTCGGTAGCTGAGAAGTTGATAAAATCTTTTGTCTTTTCGCGCATTGACTACTGCAATGGTCTTCTAGCTGGGGTATTTAAATCATCATTGGATAAATTGCAATATCTTCAAAATTCAGCTGCTAGAGTACTGTCTGGGGTCAGGGCCAGGGACCATATAACCCCGGTCTTGGAGTGCCTGCACTGGCTACCTGTTAGGTACCGTATTGATTTTAAAATCCTTATGCTGGCCTATAAATCTCTGCACAATCTGGCACCTCAGTAATTGACTAATTTATTAATCCCTTACACACCACGTCGCAATCTGTGTTCCTCGCAGAGTGGACTTTTGGTTGTTCCGAAGACATGGCTTCATACGTGGGGTGACCGAGCATTTTCTGTCTATGCTCCTAAAGCTCTGGAATTCTCTTCTGGCCGACATTAGGGAAGCAAAAACTTTAGTGACTTTTAAATCTCTTCTTAAAACATTTTATTTTAGGATTGCTTTTACATGATCATAATGTTATGTGTTTATTTTTGTATTTACATTGTCTTACTCCTCTGCTGTTATGTCTGTCTGTAAAGCGCTTTGAGAAAGCTACTTTTAAAGGCGCTATACAAAATAAATATATTATTATTATTATTACTTACATTGTGTTGTTTCAGAGTTGAGCATTGTAGCTAATCAGACATGTTTCAAGCGCATGAACGCAGTGGCCAATCAGAGGCGTTTTAGAGTCAACATGCGAAGAATTAGAACCAAGCACTTAAGAATAAATAACTTACTACATCAGCTGGATCCGTTCCTCGAAATTAAACTTCCAGCACTTCTGAGGTAACTTTTCCAGGATTATTACGATAGTATTATTTGACGAGGTAAAGTACAAGATTCTTATTAAACTGGATGTGTTTTATCCAGCTGATGTGGGCGTTGGCCTGTTTGCATGGCGTTTGAATAGCGTTTTCATTTGCGTTTGAATAGCGCCCTCTCTCTGTGGGCGTGTCACATTAGCACTTAATAAGGTAAAATTAGCTGAAAGGAAAACGACTGACATCTCTTTTCATACAGATTACATAAACTGAGAATGTTTGTTTTTTATATAAATTTCAGCTTCATAAAGAAAAATCTCTCGTGCCTCTGTGACAAGTATTCACTGAGTTACAGTTCATTTTCGGACGCGTTTCAGAGTGGACTTCACTGACAGAGAGAAGGCAAAACTCGCATCATGTTTATTTTTCTTTATTTGACAAAAAGCACAACACTTTGTTTTTATTGTGAGTATAAACAAAAAAAATAGACACTTAACAGGATCGAATGCAGATCTTGTTCTTGCTTCTCGGCATGTTTGTCACAATTAACAAGCGCCGGCATTAGGCGTTTCTCAATACCATGTAGCCTACACAAAGTCCGACTCAGGAGAATGATCCCGAGGACGCGAGTCCAGTAATTCTGCCAATGGAACAGCGCGTTCTTGAAAGCGCCACTCAGCTCGCTCTGCTACTGACAATTCAGTCAAATATACAAATTCAGCGCTCAAATATATGAAACTTCACTTAGCCTTCTGCCAAAACTATTGGCCAGGGAACGAATTATAGATTCACAAGACCAAAGATCGCCTGTTAGGTCTATACAAGTCGAATTATAAAAAAAATCAAATCAAATTGTTTTCTGCAAACTCCACCAGATTCTTGTTCCACATCTCACTGACTACCACTGTGGTGATTTTCATGTTGTTCTACTGTTTTATTATTTAATAATTGTCTGTCAAAGTCCTATACTGTATACCTTGTTATACAGCAATATTTAATAAATTCATTAAAAAAAATCTAATTGTTTTCTGCAAACTCCACCAGATTATTGTTCTACATCTCACAGACTACGACTGTGGTGATTTTCATGTTGTTCTACTGTTTTATTATTTAATAATTGTCTGTCAAAGTCCTATACTGTATACCTTGTTATACAGCAATATTTAATAAATTCATTAAAAAAAATCTAATTGTTTTCTGCAAACTCCACCAGATTATTGTTCTACATCTCACAGACTACGACTGTGGTGATTTTAATGTTGTTCTACTTTTTTATTGTTTAATAATTACCTGTCTAAGTCCTATACTACATACCTTGTTATACAGCCATATTTAATAAATTCATAACATTTTTAAATCAAATTGTTTTTAGCAAATTCCACCAGAATATTGTTCTTCATCTCATTGACTACCAATGTGGTGATTTTCATGTTGTTCTACTGTTTTATTATTTAATAATTAACTGCCAAAGTCCTATACTACATACCTTGTTATACAGCAATATTTAATACATTTATAAAAAATTTAAATCAAATTGTTTTTAGCAAACTCCACCAGATTATTGTTCTACATCTCACTGACTACGACTGTGGTGATTTTCATGTTGTTCTACTGTTTTATTATTTAATAATTACCTGCCAAAGTCCTATACTACATACCTTGTTATACAGCAATATTTAATAAATTCATAACATTTTTAAATCAAATTGTTTTTTAGCAAATTCCACCAGATTATTGTTCTACATCTCACTGACTACGACTGTGGTGATTTTCATGTTGTTGGCAGAAAGCGCCGGAAGTGATCTCTCGCGCGGTTGGGAAAAAAATTCGACGTTGTCTGTTGATATATCGAAATCGTCTTCCATTGCGATTTCCTGTATATCTAAATATGTTTAGATCTGCACAGTGAAAGGTAACACTTCCGAAATCTGTGTGTAAACAATGAGTGACGTACACGCGCAAGAGATCACTTCCGGCGCTTGCACAGACCGAAGCGCCCGCGCCCTCAGATCACTTGGACGTGGCTGTGTTTACAAGAGGTAAAAACGATATAAATACTGTTAGTTTTCTCACAGAAACCGCTCGTTTCGTGTCTTAGGCCATCAATGTGTACTTACATTTACGAGTCATTAAATCATGTTTAATTTGGACTTCTCTGTGCATGCTCTTTGAGGTGGTGACCATAGACCTGCATTATATGACTGACAGACAAGAATGGTTTGACCTAAAAATATCAAAATTGAAACTTCTGTGGAAACAAAGACACCTACATCTTGGATGCCCTTGAGGTAAGCTAACATATCAAAAATTAATTTCAAAGTGAACTATCCCTTTAAGGAACTCAGCCTAAATCCTGAGGAAGATCCTGCAGTGCAGAACGTTTTTTTGAGAGGAATCATTTAGCTGCAAACACAAGTAATATAATTCATTTATTGTTCTAGAGTTGTTTGATGTTTAAATTGTCAAGATAAAAATAGTGTTTAATATCTAGATGTTTGCTATGATAATTACGTAACTTCAGCCCAGATAGCAAAAAATATCGTCACGGCTTCTTTTTGGCGCCGGCCCCAAACTGTCGGCTATAGGTGCGCCCCGCTGGCGGAGATGAAACGTTTGCCGCCGAATACGTCACTCCCATTTCTTGCGAGATGCCGCCGGCGAACAGCCGCCGGGCCGCCGACTTCATTCTCTCTGGCGGTTGCCGCCGTCTAAATGAACCGCGGCCGGCTAGCGGCAAGCCGCTTTGAAATCGACCAGCCATGTCATTGGCATGAGTGGAACTGACAGCATTTTAACTTTCACATTTAAACTAAAGCGATTATAATTATTATGTGAATTATATCAAATTTTGTTGTTGTTGTTGCTCCAAAGTCATTAGGGTTTATAACAGATTTGACTCAGTCTGATTCCATGATAAGGTTTAGGAAAATACATTAAAAAAAACTCTGAAGCGATTCAGTGATAGGCCTATGTAAAATATATAGAATTATTTTATTCACTTAAGGTGACAATTCTTTACATTTCTTTGATTTATGCACAATTGAGATGCACAAATAGTCCAAAAATAATTCCTTTTGTAAAACTTACTTGGCAATAAATATCTTTCTGATTCTGATTAGGTTTTAAAATAAATATTTCATTCATGGTATGAACAATTTAGCAGAATAAATGGATGAAGTTAGACTTTTCACCAATGCCTGAAATCAGTGAACAGTGAAAGACATCTGCAACTTGGCCAAAAGCTTGGGTATGCTTTAGATTTTTTTTATTAATTTGCAACCATGGTAATATTTATAATAAACATGAAAATCCCTGTTTTGACCTGACAGATAAAGTGAAATATTTAGAAATATTTTGTCTCTCTGTCACCCCAGGAAATTTCGTTTATGTCTTTCATTTTTTTACAAGCTCGATTTTTTTATTTATTTTACCTTTTACAGGTGTAAGGGATTAATTTGCAATTGCGAGTTTTGCAATCTGTACAAATGTTTAAGAAAGTATTAAAGCACAAACAGAGAAGTACCTCCACCGGCCGAGAGGGGCAGTACCTAAAAAACGGAAGCAGATTTACCAACACAACAGTGGCCACTCGTCACACGATTTCAGTATTTGGAGAGGATATCCTATCTAGTCATTGCTGCGTCCCAATTCGCCTACTTATACTACGCCCTAAAAGTATGTACTCTTTTTGTGAAGAAAAAGTACATACTTTTGAGTGTGTAGCAAAAGAGTAGGCAAGCTTTGGGACATACTACTTCGTCATCTTTAACGGACAGATCTGTCGCGTGCATCCTGTCACCGTAAACTGCCCTGTCAATCATCTCGTCACAGTTAAAATCCTCCATTCAATCTAATATAACTTCTTACCATTTCGGAGAGAATTGTTGTCGCACGTTCATCTGCCAGTCCTGGGTCTTTCATGCCGAGACTCTCCTCATGTGTTTGGAATTTGAATATAATAATGCATTTAAAAGTGAATGGCTAAACGTATCTTTGCAGAAGTTCACAATGCTGCTGCAGATGCAATATAATGTGGACAACATTGAATAAATACATTTTCGTCAGGTTAGATACTGACAATTAATCACTCAAACCCCTTTGTCTAAACCTCTCTACATAACCGTCGGACTCGCGCGTCATCCATGTCTGTAGTTTTTGAACACTCTTCACTTGTGTTTGTAGTTCTAACCGAATCCTCGTCCAGCGCGTGATGGGTTGTGGGCAATATCAGCCGTTAGAGTGCGCAGCGATCTGCACTTCGGATTCTGACCGGATATAGTAGACCATCCGGGTCTCTTTGGGACACTCATTTCAACATACTATGATTTGGGACGTACTAATTCTATTTTCGAATACTATTTAGGACGGATAGTATGCGAATTGGGACGCAGCATTTGACTACGATCTTTAAAGTAAGTACATTTGTCCTTTTTGTGTAACGCAATATTATGTTCATTTTTTACATTTTTAGTTCATCTTTTTCAAATATGTTCTTGCCTTACTAGTCAAGCTAGTAAGTTAGCCTTGTTTACAAAGTTTCCGTCATGTTTCTGACATAGCTAACGTTAGTTAGGCTAACGTTACTTAGTTTCTTCCTGGCGTTAGTTTTTTCTTTTCTTCTTTTAACTATATTTACGTATGTTTATGCAAGTGTGAGTACTACAGTATGTGGTTTAAGATAGTATTGGTCAGTCGAATAATTAACTAACTTACGTAACCAAATCCTGAAGGACAATTCTCCCGCCCACGTGGGAATGGTAACGTTAGCAAAATCTTTACGACAAGAAAGACTGATCAGTATAACTTGTGTTGTTTTCTAACTAGCTGCTAAACATAATGATGTTTTGTTTGATTCGACAACCATGCTGCTAGTCTAGTTTAACTTACAGTGTTAGCTAACACATGCTGCTCCGCTTTTTTACTCACTGAATTCAAGCATGTTCGACATGTTGAAATGTATCTAGCTACAGTAGATCGCCAAAGCTTTACATCTAGAAAGAAAGCTTTACATCTAGAAAGTTTAACTTTTGGTGTTTTCTTACAAAAATAACGATGTATGTGTGTGTATATATATGTGTGTATATGTATATATGTGTGTATATGTATATGATTGTGTTTGTCTGAACATGGTTTTCTGTTGATCCACTTGTGAAAATGACTAGTTTTTTGAAGGGGTGAGCATTTTAATGTTATTGATTTTGCCTGGAAATTAATCAAAAAGTATTCTCTTGGTCGGCGTTACGTCACAAATCATGTGACCTGCATAGCAACCAGCCGCGAAGGGTAAAACAAACCAAAGGCAAAGCCCGAGGCAAATCAAAAAGGTATCTATTCACAGAAGTTTTGCTGTGGATTATGTCAGTTATGGATACTAACGGACTACTTTGTATTAATGATGAATGATATTTGTGTATGCGAATGTATGTCGGTGGTGAGAAGTGAATGTAACGTTAAAGCTGCCGTCGGCAACATTTTTTTGATCATATTCAGTGAAATCGACACTATAATCTGACAGAACAACATAAATAAAGTGGTTTTAGAAAAAACCCCGAGCTTCTAACTCCACCTGGAGCTTGTTATTTGTTTAGCAAAAATCCACAGCTCCCGGTTCATCATGTCCAATCAGCGCAGGGAGGTGTGAGATCTGACTGTCAATCACAGATCTGGCACACGCCACCCGTCGCGCACGTTACAATCACATGCACACGCCTGAAGTTCGCGGAAGTTCGCACAGTAACGAAGAGTGATGGCGGAAAATCAAGTAAGCTCATTTAGAGTATAAATGACGTTAGCAATTGCAATCTATCGGTACATTAGCCAGGACAGCATACCTCCAAATACTCCATGGTGTTGATGGATGCTGATGAGACGGGCGCGTTCCAGGGCTCTCAAGTTTTGAAGACAGGTAAGAGTGACACCCAGCCGACGGGGGTTTGGATACATTTTTGTCATTGGTTGTTGCGTTAAATCTTACCCAGATACAATAGTGCTATTTTCTGATTGCCACTGACAGACTGAGCTCATTACAGCCACTTTGTAACACGGTGCTTTTGAATGAAGTTTTTTTTTTAATGAATAAACAATCGATTACATAGTTAATGTAATCAATGCTTGATGGGTATTTAAACATGACAGCAAGTGTAGGACACGTGGTATGTACACATGGTGTTCATACCAGGGGATTTGATGAGGTAATTATATATTAAAGCTCCAGGCATGAATCAAGCGCGTCTCCTCTGGTGTTGTTCGTCGAGCTACACAATTGTAGCTCGACGAACAACACCAGAGGAGACGCGCTTGATTCATGCCGGTTCCACAGTGAGAGCGGCGCGGCCAGAGTTTTGGGCGCTGCGGCATATTAAATATATGTTCAAATAGTTTTTCAGCGTGAGAAATACAATGTGTGGCGGGAGAGCGTGACAAAAGACCGAAATGAGTGACTGTCACGCTCAATGCGTGACACTTGAGAGTCCTGGCGTTCACTGAAAATCTGGTGCACACGCACTGACGAGCATGAACTGGGTGGGAGGGTATCCGTTGATAGTGGGGGAGGGGCATGAGAGTTGTAAACATTAAAAATTTTCCTAAATCCACTCAATCTGCCAGACTTGCCGACTGGAGCTTTAATAAAACACTCATGTAAAGCGCTTTGTGACTAGCTAACGTTACATGTCTGTGAAAGGCGCTAGCAGCTATATGAATACAGATCTTCTTCTATTACAGAATGTCTTATCAATATATAGACAGTCTCCTAGCGCCTGCATTGACCAGGTACCACAGAAAGCTGTCGCTTGTAGGTTTACAATCTTGTCCCTATCGGCATCCAGCTGAGTCCTGGGAGAACAACCCAAAAGCATGGCCCAGGCTCGAGTATCCAGACATATATAATTACCTCATCAAATCCCCTGGTATGAACACCATGTGTACATACCACGTGTCCTACACTTGCTGTCATGTTTAAATACCCATCAAGCATTGATTACATTAACTATGTAATCGATTGTTTATTCATTAAAAAAAAAACTTCATTCAAAAGCACCGTGTTACAAAGTGGCTGTAATGAGCTCAGTCTGTCAGTGGCACAGCTTGTACAATGTCAGTGAGGGACACAGTTTTTTCAAAAAGCCAAAAAAAGGCTAACTGCATAAATGTATCTTATTCCCCACACAACTACCGTTAGTGCATTCCATTGATGCTTTTCAGTGTAGAGCTGCTGACCATTATGCATAGCAATGTCATAACATAGCAACAGAAAATTGAGTGGCCATCTCTGCAGTGGTATTATTTT